GAGAGGGGGTGAAGGGAGGGCGGGGGTAAGGGGAAAAAATGAGAACCAAGATCTGTCATGTAGAGGTACAAGATCCCAACAATGAATGTAACTGTACTGTATCCCTAAATGTACCAATAAACTCCATTAAAGCTAAAAAAAAAACAAACGAAAAAAAACATTTTTAAAAACACAACAACATATGTCCCTGGATAGCGAGAATAAATATTAACGTCAGACACAAATGATGATCCAGAGGTTGGAGACTTGCTTCAACTTCATGCTCTGGTGTGATAAGGATTATGGATTCCTGAGAGTGGAGAAAGAATACAGAACATTATGACGAGCATGGGTCTTGGAACCAGAGACAGCCTCTTTCAGGCTGAAGGTAGCCTCTTCTAGAAGTGTGGCCGTGGGAGTCAATTAAAATCGCTGGATTTCCTTGTCCATATTATACAGACACTAAACATTTCCTCGTATGTATTTTGACTGAATTAAATACAATCATGATGGTAACATTTTTATTCAGTTATGAAAAATTCTAATCAAATAGACATAATAGGTATCTTACATCCTGGTTTTCCTAAAACACTCTAATTGATACCTGTTATACCAGCATAATTGTTCTTGTTGCTGTTTCACCGCCAAAAGTATTGTTGTTTGAACAATAAATTATTTGCTTCTTTTACTATAGCTATTCTTTTTCGAAAACTTAAAATTTGCCATTGCTACATTCAAGTTCTGTTAACTGATTCTATCTTTACAACTCTTATTAAGTAGATATTTCCACTATTTCATTTTAAAATAAAAAATTAATGTACATAGAAATGAGGTACTGTATCCTGGGGATTTGAACGCAGGCATTGGTTTAACTGTCTAGAATTTTATTACTCAGTTATATATTTGGGCAGCATTGAGTACTTGCTGAAACATAGCAAACTAAAGATAAGAATAGAAATGAGAAGAGAAGAGAAAGAAGAACATAGAGGAATCCAGGGTCCACCTCCCTGATCTGGGTGCCACCCCCATTCCCTTATTTCCATAGTTATAGTTTCTGAAGTTTGAAGCTTGAATTGAAGTTTGATGACGTCCCAATGGCTTTTAATTCAATAGTAAGCCTCCCACCGACTCCAGTTCCTACCCTTTTCCTTTATGACATGACACTGATATTGTTTACACTGTCAAACAATCTGGGTTCATCTGTGTGCTCCAGAGAAGGTTTAGTTTATGCATCTGGGGAAGAAATTCCACTTGAGCCTTCTCTACCGTTCTGCCTTCTAAAGGCATCACCTAAGGGCGATAAAATGCCCCTGTGCGCCATTACTGTTGACTCAAACTCCATTACATGATTTAAGGAGAATCCATCACATTTCCCCATCACAAAGATATATTTATTTCTGTTTGTAATTAATAAATAAAAATTGATAGACACCTCTGACTATAAAGAATATTTTACTTCCCCCCAAATTTCTTTTGTTGCTTTAGTGCCCAGTTATGGTTCTCCCCAAATGAATTCTATTGTGCTTGTGAAGTTTGTAAATAGTGGTTTCCTAACTCTATGCCTCCAACATGTATTGGTTGACATTCTTTGACAGATGACGTCCTTTGATAAAGGAAATCCCACTCACCTTTCTCCTCCCTTCCCATGTATATCAGAGTTTACTTATTTGTTCGAGGTTCAGTGTGTTGAATCCATTAATGGTTTTATTCATTTTGCCACCCAAATGTACCAGAATTTGGCCAGAGATAGCTATCAAGCTGGCTTTGGGCGGGGGCTCATTTTATATGTTCTTTATTTTCTGAACATCTCCTTCCTTTCTGGTGCAATCAGTTGTTTCCTCAACCTTTTCTTTTACTCAGCCTTGTAATGACCACGTTTATAAGATAACCTCATTGGGGAAGGCTAGTTAGAAACCAAAATGTAGATGCTCAGTGCTACTGAGATATCTTTGTTCCAGATGCTTTCATTGAACAAAACATGTGTGGTTGCATTAGATGTGAATTACTATAATAACGCGTATATACATATGAATTACATATAGATGATAAAGCACAGATGCACATGTATTGTGGAAATAGCAAGAGTTCATATTACTAACTAGAATTACAATCTGACGCCACGGGATTCTTCCCTATGTTCCCCAAATCCTTACTGTTATTTCCCTTCACCCACAGTTCTGGTTGCTTACAATATCGAAATAGTTCCTAATTTCCTGATTCCCACAACACACAAAATACAATTTTGGAATTACTATGCAGTAAGTACCATTAATAGTAACTAATCGAGTAAGTAAAAAATCACAGCTTTTTTGACTCTTTACAAGACTCAGAGTTTTGAAGTTACTTAAATGAGTTTTTTTTCCCCCTGTCCTGCTTATGTGTCTTTTATACGTAAGGCTCTTTTGTTTCTTTTTGTGTGTATGTTTAGGAGGTTTGATCTGTCTTCGTTAAGTTTTTTAAATCAGCGAAACTTTAGGAGGGCAAAAAATGTAAAAATTCTAGTAAAAGTTATACTGATAGAAATGTTTCCCCCTCTCCTAGTCCTTCTGTTCTAACACTGCCTAATCCCTTGTGGATAACCTGTTTCATAGCTTTGGGCTCAGCCTTCTCACCTTCTTATGTTTCTTTTTGTAATCATACACTTGGGCTCTTCTTTCTCCTTCTCCATATAAAACATAGCACACTACACATACTCTTTTGCATGTTGTTTTTCGAGATACATCCTGGAAGTCACTGTATTAGTTTCTAGCATCCTTCCCCCTCTCTACAATTGAGCAGACGCTTGCTTTGGGGTAAACGTACCATAATTTATTCAAACAATCTCTCATGTTTGGCCCTTTGCATTTTTTTCTGAAAATTTGCAATAGATTTTAATACAATAGTACAGTGACTTCATATTTTTAAATAATGACTTTTTAATGGTAAGTAGAATATGCTAGACAAAAGGTAAATGCAAGTGTAGTTTTATTAGATATGACCCAATTCCACTTCAATAGGCGTAATCAGTTTATATTTCCCCTAGTATTGTATTAGATTCTCACAGCCTCAACAATAGGAGTGTGTGATCAAACTTTCGATTTTTTGCCAAATTGGTCAATGAGGTGGAAAATCTTTCCATATGTTTAGAGGCCATCTCTCTCTCTCTCTCGCTCAATGTTTAAGGAGTTCTGTAGATAGTATGAATACTAGCCTGTCATTTGAGACATACCTTGCAAATATTTTCTTCTAGTTTGTCATCTGCTTTTTGAATTTGACATTTGCCATTCACGCAAATTTTATTTTAGATATTTAAATTCATCTCTGTTTAACTATAGATCAACTGGATTTTGAGTCATAGTTTGAAATCTGCCTTTCTTGTATCAGATTCTAAAGGGTTTACTCACCAACTCAGCTTGTGTAGTTTTACGTTGTATATTTAGATCTCTCATGCATGTAGAGTTTGTCTTTAAGTATGGTGTGAGGCATGAACCCAACTGTATGCAAATGGATGTCTAGTTGTCATTCCTTTTATTAAAATACACACATCAGTCCCAGATGACCTGAGAGTTTTTAATATGGTACTAGATATATAAATTAAATCACTTTTTCACAATAACTCTTCAGTGCCGGTTGCTATTGTTATCTTAATATTCCAAAAACACAGTTGTTATTATAGAACATTTACCCTACCCCAAATAACAACACCAAACTCATCAATATGTGACAGTTTTAAAATTAACTATAAAGTTTAAGCTTCCTGCTGCTTCTTGCAATATGGCAAACAGGTATTCCGGGAAAAAAACTGAATTTAAAACATGTAGAAATTCTGGATAAGATTCAACAGGCAGCACTGATAATACATTGCTAAGTTTAAAAGAAAATAAGCTAAATCCTTTAAAGGCAAAATGAGACTAGATTGAGGAACAAGACAGGAAGCAAAAATGGAGACATTTTCCAATATCAGGAAACCAAATGCCAGAGACCTTGACTCTTGCAGGACAGTGGAAGCTCAACTCTGATCCCCAAAAGACCCTTCCTCATTTCTGTGTACCCTCAGTGAAAGAATAGAATTTTGAAAAATTATCTTTTGGCAAACTGAACTCATAGGGAACTGTCAGTCTCTCTGGGGCTAGCCAATCTCAATCCTTACAGTACAGAAATGCTTGAGTAGTATAAGTATTTCAAGGTACATGTGAAAATAAGCCAGATTTCTAGTATTTTTAAAACTGTGGTGAACTAATTTAATAGAAAACTACAGCATTAGAAATAAATAGCATTATCATCAGCATAAAAAAACCTCTCATACATAAAGAGAAGCAAAAAAGCAGATACAGATATGTTTTTTATTTTAAATACACAGCAATAGCTACTTAGTGTAATTATGAGGATACTTAAGGAATTATAAATAGAAAATTCCTTGTGTTTTACTACAGAAGTGGAGGAGAAAGGTGAAATTGAGAAGTATGTGAACTTTTTAAAGTTTTAATAGTATTTTTTTCTTAATTCTTAGCATTTGTTGGCACCTTATGTTCATTTATTAGCTCTTCAAAGAGTTGATGGCCACCTTCTGCATGGCAGGTGACATTCAAAGCAATCGGTACGTCCCCTAACAAAACAGATAAAGAATGGCTGCCTTTGTATATCTTGTGTTCTAAAGGGAGAATTTTACAATTTTTAAATATTATCAGCAAGGAAGGAAATTCACAGACTACTAACTAGTTATGAGGAAATCGCAGCAGTATAAGGGGGATTAGCAAGAGAGGAGGTCAAGGGCACCCTCATCTCACATAATCTCGGCCGGGAAGGCTCTTTGAGGCAGCGTTTGAGCAAAAGCTTAAAGGAAATAAGGAAGTATAAACCATGTGGAAGGGAAGACAATTTAGCAGGTGCAGCAGCAGTGCCAAGGCCTAAGGCTGAGCATCCCTGAGTGTTTATGGGTTAATTGGCACAGGACAAGTGAGGGAGGGAGCAGCCGAAAGGGAAGCCAGAAATTTCAAGGGAGGTAATGGGAGACGTTCTCGAGCCCCAAAGGCAGGCTGTAAGGCCCGTGGCTTTTACTCAGAATGAAATGGACAGCTTCAAAGCCGAGAATTGAGCATTTTAAACCTGCTTCTTAAAGTACCCACCCAACTGAGTTGCGAAGGATGGAGTGCAGGGGCAAAGCTCTCTGCAGGATCGCCAGGCACAAGGCTTCTGCAGTGCACCAGGCAAGGGACAGTGACAACTGGATGGGGGCTCTCCGATGAGAGGAGGTGAGGAGTAGTTGGATTCTAGTCTTCATTTGGGGACAACAGGACTTTCTTTCTTTCTTTCTTTCTTTCTTTCTTTCTTTCTTTCTTTCTTTCTTTCTTTCTTTCCTTTCTTTTGTTCTTTCTCATTAAGTTTAGTGGTACTTTTTAGGTATACAGCACAGTTACATTCATCATTGGGATCTTGCTTCTAATTTTCTTCCCCCATGCCCCTGCCCTCTCTGCAGCCCTCCACCCTCCCCTATTTTCAAAGACTTTGTTTCCCATTTTTCCTTTTCTCATATTTTTTCTTTTCCCGTCTTACCTTTCCCCTCCCCTTCCCACTTCCACTTCCCCTTTAGCCCTTTTCTTCCTATTTCTCATTATCAATTATACAATTTGAACCTTATTTATACTTTTAGTTTTTCACACCAGAGAAACTATTTGGTATTTACTCAAGTGTGTCCTATTTATTTCACTTAAGAGTGTGGCCTCAATATGCATCCATTTAGCTATAAATGTCTTTGGTTTCTCATTCTTGACGGCTGAGTAGTACTCCATATTATAGAAAAGCCACATCTTCTTTATCCAGTCTTCAGTTAATGGGCAATGGGGCTGTTTCCAAGTTTCCAACAGGATTTCTGCTCAGGCAACACAGTCTGAGGGGAAGAAGAATTCAGGATTCGGAAGACCAACAGATCTTTTCTCTGTGCACATTAATGTCTCCTGACTGCAACCTTGCATAAAGACACCAGTCAGATGGAATTGGACCCAGACGTGCAATCTCATTTTACCTTAAATTCTTATTTCTAAATATGGCAATGCCCTGTGGTATTAGGCGTACGCCTTAAATATGGATGAGGAGGCACAATGAAGATTATTTTTCCAGTACTGGAGGTTGACACCACAGCCTTCTCACATCATCAGCTCTGTTTTGAGACAGGGCCTCTCTAAGTTGTGCAGGCTATATCCAAATCTGCCGTTCTCCTGCTTCAGCCTCTCAGAGTGCCAGGATTACAAGCAAGCACCACCGCACCCAAGCACAGTTAAGCTCTTATCAAGGGATAAATAGGTTTGGGGGCAGAAGAATAGGGAGTTTAGTTTCACACATGTTAAATCAATGTATCTTGGAGATCCGTGTGGAGGTTTTGAATAAGCAGTATAACACTTAGGTGTAGATTTCAGGGAAGACCTAGTAACTAATGATCCAAATTTTAGTGCACTCAGCAGAAGAACTTTAAAACCGAGAGACTCGACATGACATCAGAGGAATGCAAATAAGCAGAAAAGAAAAGAAGAGCCAAAATCGGCCCCAAAAGAAAGTCACCAGTGATGAGCAGGAATGCTCTAAAGAGAATTGAATAAAGATTCTGAGGAAGAGAAGAAAATGCAAAATGCTAGATGAAAAAAATAAACAGCAAGGAGGTAATGGATTTCTCAATAAGTGTTCCTGATAGGTCAAGTAAAACGAGGTCTAAGACCGGATGACTCAGTTTGTCATTGTGAGCCTCGCTGGTACAACCAGCAAAGTGGCACAGGTCTGAGACCCGAGGGGAGAGGGCTTAAGAGAACACAGTAAAAGAAAATGCATCACAGTAAAGATGGTCGCTCCAAGAGAGTTTGTCTGAAAGCGAAGCTGAGAACAAGATAACAGCTAATGAGGCCTATGGGGCAAAGGAAAAGTTGTCTTTGTAAGAAAAATAGCTTGTTTGTGAGCTGTTGTGAAAGAACACATCGTGAGGGAGAAATTGATGGCGTAGAGGAGAGAGAGAGCAGTTCTAGAGCTGTGAACACAAGAGAATGAGGGACAAGGAGATCTAGGAGAAGAATTATTCTTTAGATAGAAGGAGTGAGAGTAATAATGGGCATCAAGTAATGCTAAATTCCTCTTATACTAAACTTGGGGATTTGTAATGATGGGTGGCAGAAATCATGAGACTCTTTCTCTTGACATCCTGTGTTCGTGTTACTTTATATCCCTTCCTATACTTTAGACCTCTTAAGACTGAGAAAATTGAGCAATAATGAAGGGAAAAAAAATGTGGAAATGT